CCTTCCACGAGGCAGATAACACTGCTGGCTCAGCCACGCTCCAGGCCTTGCTGACCTGAGCAGGACCACACTTTTGGCCCTGAGCAGGGGGATGGAATGCATGTGCAGCACCACTGTGTTGCTGGTGACAGTGGAGAGCCTGGGCTGTCTGCCCTTCTCCAGACGTTGCTCCAGCAAGTTGAGCCTGCTGAATGGAGCCCAGTCTGCAAAATGTGTTTCCCTTCCCTTTAGAGGCACCTTTGGAGCAAGAGAGAAGGCATGTTGCAGGGACAGGCATACTGCTCTATCCTCGGCCTCCCTCCAGAAAAGCCCAGCAAGGCAGGGAAAAGCTGTGTACAAATGTAGAGGGGAATGTCCTGCTCCTATAGCTGAGGCTCCAAGGCAGCAAGTTGTTTCTGGTGAAGCAGCACAGTAGCCTCTACCTCCACAGCTGGAGGTGATCCTGGCTGTGCAGTGTGGGACCCCATCTAACAAGGCCTTTCTCCATCAGACCAGGCGGAGACCAGTCATGAGCAACCACACAGCCACCCACATCCTCAACTTCGCCCTGCGCTCAGTGCTGGGAGAAGCAGACCAGAGAGGGTCTCTGGTGGCACCAGACAGGCTGAGGTTTGACTTCACAGCCAAGGGAGCCTTGTCCACACAGGAGATCAAGAAAGTTGAAGGCATCGCCAACCAGATGATCGAGGAGGCAAAGGTGGGTTGGTCAGCTTGAGGGGTTAGCCAGTTTGCTAGCCCCGTCCTCCAGGAAGAATCCTGCCCTTTTCCTGCAGATCTATGCACTGGCTTGCTGCAGTGTTTGAACTGGGCTTGGGGGACAGCTGAGGCACCAGCTTTCAGTAGCAGTCTTCCTTGAATCCCATTCTTAAACTGCACACCCCTCCTTGGAGTTGAGCTGTGTGTGAGGTGTAACATGGATAAGAGCTTGTTATGTTGCCATTTCCCCATTGTGTGAGGACAGAGAGGAAAGCTTATGCCTTGGTCATCACCTCTTCCCACCAACCTTTCATGTAGGGACCATCTCCCTGTCTCTTTAATCTTTGGGTTTGGCTGGTATACTTATGCTTATGAAAAAGATACTGTGAGTGAAGTTTTTGGATGGCCTGGGATGCTGGAAGTGTTGCCCAGTACAAGTCTTCTGAGCTGCTGGTGCAGCACTGTGCAGATTTGTGTTGCTTCAGGGGATTTTGAGTGGGAAAATTCCATGTATATTGATCTGTTCCTTCGTTCCAAGCCCTCTCCAGCTTGGAATGGTTCCTTGCCTGCTCTAGTGTCACACTGTCTGCAAACGCCAAGAGGTTTAGCAGAGCACTTTAGAAGATCTGTCAGTTACCTTGGGATCCCTGTAGCTCAACCAACCCCAGGTCAGACGGAGTTTTTAAATCCCTTTTAGGATCTTTCAGATGAAGTCAGGATACCCTGGAAATGCAAGCCCTCAGTCGCATCTAACAGGACCAGCTCTCACCTGCATCCTTTTCCTTTGCTCTGCAGACTGTGTATGCCAAGGACTGCCCTCTCGCAGCAGCCAAAGCTATCCAAGGGCTGCGGGCAGTTTTTGATGAGACCTATCCTGACCCTGTCCGTGTGGTCTCTATTGGCATCCCTGTGGAGGAGCTGCTGGCTGACCCCTCTGGCCCTGCGGGCTCCATCACTTCCATCGAGTTCTGTGGAGGGACGTGAGTATCTGGAGAGACCAGGGAAGGTGGCAAGGTGGGGGAAAAGCAGTCTCTGTGAAGCCTGAGCTTCTGAGGGCTGTAATGTGGTTGTGTGCTGGGCAAGGAAACTGCCTGCGTGCTGTCCCTGCCCCCCACACAGTGTCTGACAGCTCTGGTGCTTGCCACCCTTCCCTCACTCTTAAACTTTTAGTGGCTAGGTTGGGTTTTCTGTCTATTCCTTGCTACTTCTCCTTGGCAGGGTGGTTTCCTGGTTTCCATGCTGAATGCTGCTGAGATGAGAAGTGGACTGGTCTGTTAACTCTCTCTTGTTGTGGGTCTCTTTCTGGGTTCTTTCCTAAGGCACTTGCAGAACTCTGGCCATGCTGGGCCCTTTGTGATTGTTTCAGAAGAAGCCATTGCTAAAGGCATCCGGAGGATTGTGGCAGTCACTGGAGCTGAAGCTCGGAAGGTAAGGAGAGGCAGGAGTTGTTCTCTTTTGGGAGGATCTTGGCAGTCCTTCTGACAAGGGAGGATTAAGCCAGAGTCTGGCTCTGGGCAAGCACTGCCTGCATTGGCTCTGCTGCGTTCTTGGGAGTTACTGAACTCTATGCCTGGTGCTGCTGCCTTCCTGACACTTCTTTTGGGGATGGCCTGGTAGCTCCCCCTGTGTGACGTGACTCAAATTGTGTTCTGCCAGGCCCTCAGGAAGGTGGAGAGCCTCAAGAAATTGCTGTCAGCCCTGGATGCCAAAGTGAAGGTCCAGACAGCTCCCAACAAGGATGTGCAGAAGGAGATCACAGACCTCAGTGAGGTGAGGGTGGCAGCAGTGCTGGGACCTTATTTGCTGGCACTGGGTGTTATTAATGAAGCCTGAGCTGTTTCCTGCTTCTCTGTTTCCTCCCCTGGGACCTCTTTGTCTTGGTTACTCTCGTGGGGTTAATTGCTGGTGAATTTGTCTTGTGCCAACACTTTTGTAGGACACAAGCTCAACAGAGGTCTCAGCCCTGTGTACTTTGGGTGCTGCAGCTCACACCTGAACTTGTTGGATAGTGGGACAGGGGAGCTCAAACCACTTGGAGGTTCACGAATGCAGTGCAGCATACCCTGCCTTCTGCCATGGCCACCTGCACCTTTAACCCTCCCTTGTCCTGTTTTGCAGATGTTGGCCACTGCTGTTATCCCACAGTGGCAGAAAGATGAGCTGAGAGAAGCTGTTAAAGCACTGAAGAAGGTTATGGATGACCTGGACCGTGCAAGCAAAGCTGACATCCAGAAACGAGTGAGCCCTGGCTGGGAGTAAAAGACAGCATGGGAGGGCTGCTGGGGGCCGTCCTGGGAGCTCCACTTGTGCACACTGCAGAAAGGAGCTGAGCTGTGGCTCCTTCTCTGCTCGTTCCTTGGAAGATGGGGTGCTTCTGAAGCTGGGTGCAGGGTAAGGCTGGTGCCTGGGTCTTCCTTTGGATCCCATCGGATTTTCCTGACAGAGGAACCACGCACATCGCTGCTGCTGCTTTGCAGAATGCATACCCTCCTCTGAGTGTGGGTTTTTTTTTTCCTAGCACTGCGGTGTGGGACTGCCTGAGGCTGGGCTGTGGGTGTGCTGGGACATCTGAGGGGCCTCTGCCTGCAGGGAGCTCTGGTCTCTGGGTGGTTCTTGTGTCCGTGTGCATTGTGCAGACACATGAACAGTGCTGTTTGTCCTCAGGTACTGGAAAAGACAAAGCAAGTCATTGAGAGTCACCCTAACCAGCCACTAGTCATCATGGAAATGGAAAATGGGGCCTCAGCGAAGGTATGGGAAGGTCTGATTGCTCCTCTTTGTGCCTGAGGGGCAGTTGGGTGGGCTCTGTTTGCTCTTGGAGACAGTGCTGTGTTACAGAGACATTAGGCCAGCTCTGAGGAGGGGCTGAGAAAGAGAGAGAACACGTCTGTAGTGTGCCTTGTGTCCCAGCTCCTGGACTAACAAATGGGTTTGCAGGGGTGGGTGGGTCTGAAGCATTCCCCGAGCTTCCAAACCTGGTCAACTCTTTGAAAGGGCAGATAACAGCAGGGCAAGGGAAAATGGTTTTAAGTTGAGGGAGGGGAGATTTAGGTTGGATGTCAGGGGGAAGTTCTGTACTATGAGAGTGGTGAGGTGCTGGAACAGCTGCCCAGAGAGGCTGTGGATGCCCCGTCCATCCCTGGAGGTGTTCAGGGCCAGGTTGGATGGGGCCCTGGGCAGCCTGGGCTGGTGTGAAATGTGGAGGGTGGTGGCCCTGCCTGTGGCAGGGGGTTGAAACTTCATCCTGAGGTCCCTTCCAACCCTGGCCATTCTGGGTGGCCCTGCCTGTGGCAGGGGGTTGAAACTTCATCCTGAGGTCCCTTCCAACCCTGGCCATTCTGTGGTTCTGTGTGGTGAGAATTTCCTCTATGGAAATAGCATTGGATTCCAGGTGAGACTCATCCCAAAGGAGTCACGACAATAAAAGTGCAGGCTTAAACGTTGGAACAGCCAAGCTGTAACGCCCTATTTAAATTTCCACTTTGGGAGCCTCACCTGGTGCTGTTTCACACTCCTCCATGGCTGTCCCCATCTCTGTGATGCTCTCAGCTAGGCTGGAGTGTGCAGCCTAGGGGAAGGTGAGCAGCCAACGTGCCTTGTTCCTCCTGCAGGCCCTGAATGAATCACTGAAGCTCTTCAAGACTCATTCCCCCCAGACTGCCACCATGCTCTTTGCTGTGGATAACGAAGCGGGCAGGATCACCTGCCTGTGCCAGGTGCCCCAGGTCGGTCTGTGAGCTTCTCTGCTTTTCTCAGTGGCAGAAAAGTGAATCTCATACGATGTGACCGAGTCACCGTGGTGGATGAGAGCCACAGCTTTGTGTTACCGCGGTGCTGCCAGGGGGTGGAGCAGGAGGGGAAGGGAGAGAGCTGGGGGTCAGGAGCCGTGTATGAAAGAGCATCCATCACTGCCACCGGGCTGGAGGTCGAGCTCCTTTTTCCCCTTTTCCTCTCCAGGAGACAGCGCAGAAGGGCCTGAAGGCCAACCAGTGGGTGCAGGAGGTCTCTGCCCTGATGGATGGCAAAGGTGGAGGGAAGGACATCTCGGCACAAGCCACGGGCAAGAACGTGAGCTGCCTGCAGGAGGCCCTCCGCCTGGCCACGGACTTTGCCAGGCTGCACCTGGGGGAGCTGAAAAACTGACGGAACCTCACGCACCCTCTCCTTGCCCCTGCTTTGCTGTACGAACCCCGCATCCAATAAATCATAGAATCGATCAGGCTGGGAAGGGCACTAAGCTCCTCCGCTCCATCAGCGCTGCGCTGTCCCATCCTGGGCACAGCCGTGCCGCCGCCCGCTCGTACCCCCGGCAGCCGCTCTGTGGACGCGGGCGCTGCGGAGCTGCCCGGCGGTGCCGGCCGAGGGCGGAGCGCAGCGGCCGGGGCTCCTCCCCCCCTCCGCGCCCGCTTCCCCCGCCATGCCGCTGGATCACCGCCGCCTGCACGGCCCGGAGGACTCGCAGCCGCCGGAGCTCTGGGCGGCGCGGCCCCGGGATGCGGGAGGAGGAGAGGAGGGCGAGGAGAGCGGAGCCGCGCCGCGGGATCCCTGCGCGCTGCGGCCGCTGTTCGCCCGCGCGGGGCTGCTGAGCCAGGCCGAGGGCTCCGCGTACGTGGAGCTGAGCGGCGGCACGAAGGTGCTGTGCGCCGCCTGGGGACCGCGGGAGGCGGCCGAGCCGGGCGGGGCGGTGGGAGCGGGGCGGCTGCTGTGCGATTTCCGCCGGGCTCCGTTCTGCGCCCGCGGGGCCCGGCCCCGACCCGGGGGGGCGGCGGAGCGGGAGGCGGAGCGGGAGGCGGCGGCGGCGCTGCGGGAGGCGTTGGAGCCGGCGGTGCGGCTGTCCCGCTACCCGAGGGCGAGGCTGGTCGTCAGCGCGCTGCTGCTGCAGGACGGCGGCTCGGCCCTGGCCGCCGCCGTCAGCGCCGCGTCCCTCGCGTTGGCCGACGCGGGGGTGGAGATGTACGATCTGGCCGTGGGCTGCGCGCTGTGCCGCCCGCCGCCCGGCGACCGCGACGCTTCCGCCGCGGGGCCGTGGCTGCTGCAGCCCGGCGAGGCCGAGGAGCGCGGTTCCGCCGCCCGCCTGACGGTGGCGCTGCTGCCCGCCCTCAACCAGGTGTCGGCGGTGCTGGGCGGCGGCCGCGGGGGGGAGCCCGAGGGCTGGGCGGCGGCGCTGCGGCTGGGCGTGGAGGGCTGCCAGCGCCTCTACCCCGTGCTGCGGCACTGCCTGCTGCGCGCCGCGCGGCGGCGGGACGGGGCGTGAGCTGCGGGCCGGGCGGGCCGAGGGGAGCTCCGCAGTGCGGCTGGAGCCGCGCGTGGTGGTGCCGGAGCCCCCCGGGAGCCGCCCTCGGTGCCACCGGAGACCCCCGGAACGGCGCACGGCGCTGCCTCTGAGCCCGGTGGGTTCTGTGAGCTGCCCCCCACGCTGCCGGGGACCCCCAGGAGTGCCGGCAGGGACCCCCGCAGCTGCTCTTCATGCCGTCAATGACCTCGAGCCACGCCTGATGCAACCAGAGTCCCCCAGAGCCGCTGCTGCTGCCATCACTGACCCCATGGAGCCACCCTCGGTGCCATCGGTGACCGCTGGAGCTGCTCTTGGTGTTGCCAGAGACCCCCAAGGCCTTACCTGAGCCACCCCTCACAGCACTGGAGCCCCCCAGGATGCCGTCAAGACCCACCAAGCTGCCCCCGGTGCCATCGGAGACCCCCAAGGCTTACCTGAGGCTGACAGAGACCCCCCTGGACTGCTTCCAATGCCACCAGAGACCCCCAGAGCTGCCCCTGGTGCCAGCAGAGACCCTCAGGGCTTCCTCAGACCCCAGTGCCATCAGAGACCCCAAACCCTTCCTCAGACCTCACTACCATCAGAGACCCCAGGCCCAGCCTGGTGCTGCCAGAGACACCACGACATCCCCACCACCACCGCATCCCGGCACCTCTTGCCTCATTGACTGCTGCCTGTGGCACTCCAGGGTGGCAGAAGGACAGGTTGCGTTGTGTTGTTTTGGGTTTGTACAATAAAATTGTTTTGTTTTGTTTTTTCCTGGTGAGTTCTGCCTGCTTGGGGCTGCTGAGATTCCCACAAAGCTCTGGGGTGGAGCTGGGGGCTGACCCTGCTGTGCCCCCATTCAAACATCAGCACTGGGAGTACACCTGAAGCCGAATAACCAGAGAAAAGAAATACAAATTACAGGTTTTTTTTTTTCCTTTCCAGCACAATACACTCTTTTGCCGGAGCAAATTAGAAATACAGAACAACTTCCTACCAGCAAGAGGAGGACGACCTCAAAACAGGGGACACAGACATGTAGGGAGAGGGATGGAGGCACAACTTCCCCAGGCAGAGGTGGCCGGCAGGATCCCTGCTATGGTGGCAAAGAATGGAATCCTTAGGGACACCATTAAGAGAAACCCACTGGTGATGTGGGGCTGGGCTCCGGGCCACACCGCTGGGTGCCCTGTGCTGGTGGTATCAGGTGTGGCCATCTGTGTCCCCAGGAGGGACAGCGCTGTGGCTTTGTTCTGCATGGGGAGCGCATCCGGCCTGTGTTGTGCTCATGGGATGGAGGGCTTGGTGTGACCCCTGGGTCAGTGGGATACTTTACCCATTGGGGAGGGGAGGATCAGGGACACCACAGATCTCAGCTCCGGGCTAATGATCCTTCGGGATGTGGAGCTTCTGCCCTCCCACTCTCCCCACGTACTTACATAGCAAAACAAGAGGGATAAAAAAAACAATGCGCACTCAAACACAAAGACTTCTCTCACCACGGCTGGCCAATGCAGGGCACGGGGCTGCTGGCACTGGTGGTGGGAATATGAGTGCAGGAAGCCCTGGGTACCAGCCTGGCACCTGCCGGGAGCCTCCAAAGGGATGCAGAGATGGGGCAGGAGCTGTGGGGCTCTGCCATCCCCACTACTGGCTCCCCTCGTGGTCTGAGGTGTGGGCCTTCATCTGCAAAGGGAAATGCAGAGCGGGCTCCTGGGCTGCACCCAGAGCCTGATCTCGGCAAAGCATTGGCAGCAGCTGGCCACCACCTTACCATCTCCTCCGTGTCTGTGCTCTCCTCAGTGCTGTCCGTGTTGCGCCCATCCCCTCCGCTCCCCTCCTTGCCTCGTGAGCCCTCTCCCAGTGGTGCTGGTGATGCTGAGCCCACTTCTGCCTTCTTCTTCTCACTCTCCTTGCACCCTGCAGAGACAGTAGGGGCTCAGGGTGCCCATGCAGAACACCCAAAGTGGATGAGGGAATGGGAAATGTCTCCATGGGGTCTGGACGTGCTATGCATGGCAGCATCCCTCACCCGAGAGCCGCTCCCTGCGCTGGTCCATGCGCTCCAGGCTCTCCAGCAGGCTGTCCACCCGCTCCTTGATCTGGCTCAGCTCCTCCTTGATGGAATGCAGCTCCTCGGCTCTCACTGTGGGAGCGGAGCCCTCAGCATCCCATGGGATCAGCACCCAGCACCCTGGGGGTACCTGGGGCCACCACGTCCCACTCACGTTTCGTCCGTGTCCCCGTGGAGCTGGCGCTGCTCCGCGCCCCGTGCTGGGGGCTGGGGCTGCTTGTGCCTCCTGCTCTTGCATGCGTTCTCCTGGCCTTGACGGGGATGCGGTTAATGAGGGGTGGGATCTTCTGGTACTCATACACCCTGCGGTGGCACAAATGGCACAAAAAATCCCTCTAAGGGTGCTCGCCTGGGGCAGAAGTGGAGGACGGGGATACCAGGACCCCTGTGTCATGGCCCCGCACTCACCGGTATGGGAAGTCATCCCTGTAGAGGTTGTAGTCCAGGTCGCAGGTACTGCTGCAGAAGGGGATGGAGGACAACAAGTCAGCACCTGCAGCACTGCAGGGCAGGGACACCTTCCTGCTGCACGTCCCCATCCCTGCAGAAGGCTCTGAGATGAGGGTTTGTGTTTGGAGCACGGTCACTGCCTCGCCATGTGCTGGTGCTGCTTGGCAGCACGACCCAGAGCTGCTCCACAGAGCATCCCGTGGGATGGGCAATGGCTGCTGCGCTCTGGTGGCCACTGGGACCACGGTCCCTGCCCTGCCAGCACCGCATCCCTGCGGGGCCCCAGTGCCATGGCAACGGGTAGAGCAATTAATTCCATCCAGAAGCTCTAATGAGACGGAGCCCGGTGCTGACTCTGGGTCATAGAATCACACAATCATGAAGGTTGGAGAAGACCACTAAAATCCGCACGGTCGACCCCAGCCCACCCCCACCGTGCCCACTGCCCACGTCCCTCAGTGCCACATCCCCACAGTTCTGGGACACCCCCAGGAATGGGGACTCCCCCACCTCCCTGGGCAGCTGTTCATTCCAAGAAGGAATTGTTCCCAATACCCCACCTGAACATCTCCCCTGGCACAACTTGAGGCCATCACCTCTTGGCATGTGCCATACGTGCAGCACCCAGCATGAACAGGGGACCCCCAAGAGCCAGGGATGGGGAGCTGCCCCAGGGGTGGGACCTGCTCCAGGGATGGGGACCTGTCCTGCTGCTGGTGGTGGCCCCATCCCTATGTGGGTAGGGATGCTGTGTCCTCAGGCTGTCCACTAAGGTACCTCATTGTAAAAACCATGGAGCTCTTCTTACGGATAGAAGAATCATGGAATCATAGAAGAAGCCTCCAAACCCTTCAGTGAGGTGGGTTTGGGGCTCAGTCGGGACCCCCCAGGAGCTGCTCATGGGGACCCATAGATGCACAAGGAGCCCATGCACTGGCACTCACGGGTACAGGCTGCTGCTGTGCGGCCTCTTTTGGCCCAACCTGACCCGGCTCGGCTTTGCCTCCCTGGCCACGTCCAGATCTGCAGAGAGAAAAAGCAGGGTCATGAGCAATGGAAAAACCCAAACTCACCACCAGGAACCCCAGCAGATGGCTCCTGTCCTTCCTGAAGGAGCTCCAGCCCAGAGGTGCTCCAGATGTGCTTCGCTGCTCCCAGAAATGAGGTGTCTTTCTACAAGTTGCCCACTGCTTTCTTTCCATCATCATCACCGTGCCCATGGGTCCTGTGGCTTGTCCCAACCAACCTTACCATGCCCACCTGTCCTATGAGTGTCCCAACTATCATCACCATGTCCAGTTTTCCACAGGTGTCCCAACCATCATCACCATGCCTGGATATCCCACAGATGATTCCTTCTGATTGCAGATGGCTCCCACAGGGCTTGCTGCACTGCTTGCTTTCAGTGAGTGTGCCCAAACCTGCCCCATGTCCCCAGCATCCCCCAGCAGCTCAATGCCTGTCATGATGCCACAGGAGGGCATCACAAAGGGAGCTAGTAGACACTTGCTCTCGTGTGACACAGCAGTGGGACCATCCTTGGGGGCAGGAGACTAGGGTCAGCTGGGCTCCACCACCCCTACGACACCAGTCCTGTGCTGGGGCTCCTGCCCTGAAACGGGTATCTCAGTACTGGAGGGGACATCCGTGTCCTGGGAGCATCCTGGTACTGGGAGGATGTCCCTGTACTGGGTGATAATGGTGATGTCCCAGTAAAAGAGGATATCCCTGTTTTGGGGAGCAGTGGGTACAGGGGAGCATCCCAGAGCTGGAGGACATCCCTGTTCTGGGGTCGATGGTGTGGGGACATCCCAGTGCTGGAGAGCATCCCTATGCAGGGGAGGGACGGGAGGTGGGGAGCAGAACATAGAAAGCATCTGAGCAGTGGGATGAATGGACATCCCGATCCTGGAGGAAATCTGTCTGTTGGGGATGAACAGATAGCATGGAAGCACCTCCATAGGGGTGGACATCTCTGGTTTGGGGGTTGGTGGGGACATCCCGGTACCCTGCCCTGCGGAAGACAACAAGGAGCATCCCGGTACCGGAGGACAGCCCAGCTGTGGATGCCCACTTCCCACATCCCCATCCCGGTGCCCACACCCCCATCCCCGTACTCACACCTCCACCCGTCCCGACCGCTCAGAGCGCTCATGGCTCCGTCCTCAGCCCCGGTCCCGGCCCGAGCGGCCCCGACCCGAGCGCACCTCCCCGGGCCGTACCACGCGGCCGCCGATCCGACAGGGGGAACGGCCCGAACCACCGCGCCGCCGGGGGGAGCGAGCGGCCCCAGCGATGCGTGCGTTCGGGGTGCGCAGGGACAGCCCCGTGCCTCGGTTTCCCAAGCAGGGAAAGGTCAGAGTGTGCGGATCTGGGGGAGAAGGGGGGGAACCCTCCTGAATTCATCTATTGGAGCTGGAGGTCTCAGGATCCAGGTGATGAGGGACCCAGATGGGAGAAAAGAGGACGAGTGGCTCTTCCAAATGGAGAGAGGGCTTTATTATCCCGGCGACGAGGAACCTGCAGTGCCCAGCCCTCACCCCGAGTCATGCCGAGGTCTGTGTCACCCAGAAGTCCCCTTGGCACCTCACCTGGACACTCCCAGGCTGGGCATCTCCCTGCCCCAACAGCTGTCACAGGTGGTGACAGAGGAAGGCAAGGAGCAGCTTTGGGATGCTGACGCACAGCGCACGCCCTTCTCTGCAGGTCCCAGTGCCACATCTGTCCCACAGCATGGAGATACCTGCTCAGGGGTCCCGCTGCCATCGGGAGATGTGCTCCTGGGCTGCGTGGGAAGTGGAGTCAGGGTACTCTGGGCCTGCATGCTGTGCACATGGGGGACCCAAGGGCTGCGGCCACGTGCTCACCGAACTGGCAGATGTACCGGTTTCGGGTCTTGCAGCGTTGGTCGTTCCAGTTGAAAGCAGCTGCTGCCTGCATCTCCACACAGTTCCCAAATCTGTGTGGGAGAGGAGGGGGACATGGCAGTGCCACAGAGGTCATCATGTCTCTCATGGGAGCTGGGCACCTACCCCTGGTTGTCTGGCTGCCCAAAAGCAAAGCTGGTGAAGGCAGAAGGCTCTCCCGTGTCCCAGCGGAACGAAGCCTTGGACGTCTTGTAGGTGAGACCTGGAGAGCCAGAGGAGTGAGGTGTCCATTAGTGAGGTGGGGTGTTCATTAGTGGGGTGGGATGTGCATCAGGGGATGAGATATCCATCAGGGAGTTTGGATATCCATTAGTGAGGTGGGATGTCCATCAGAAGGGTTGGATATTCATCACAGGGGGTGGGATGTCCACCAGAAGGTTGAGATGACCAAGAGAAGAGTCGGATGTTCGTTAGAGAGATGGGATGTCCTCCAGTACAGTGTAATTTCCATTCAAGGTATGGGATGTCCACCAGCACCCCGACACCACACCACCCCTCAGCTGCACACAGGACTCACCAATCCAGAAGTTATGGGTGTCGAAGTCGATGTCTATCACCCTGTTGTTGCTTTCCAGGCGGCTGAGGTAGAAGGCCAGGATATCCTGCACCTTCTGGTTCCTGATCTGGGCCAGCATAGCCCCTTTCTCCTGGAGGGAAGCCAAGGAGCCAGCAAGCAGCTCAAATCTGTCCTCTGCTTTTCAGTGCTGAAGTCCCTGGGCTGAACTATGGGGTTTCGGGTGTTCTGGGAGGGCCCAGCTCACCTGGCACTTGGATTTGGCCCCATAATACGTGTCAGCCTCGGGAGAAATGGTGAAGCAGTCACCATCGATCCTCACATCACAAGCATGGAAGGGGAATGGGACCCTGGCTGTGGGCACAGGTGGGCACAGGTGGGTGCTGGGGCAAAGGGACCCCCCGGCGGGCACAGCCCCCACTCACTGCCGCACTCAGCACCGCCATAGCCAGCATCACAGAGGCAGGAGCACTCCTCCTGCCGGAACTTCCCATGGAGGCACCGCATGCTGCACCGCACTGCCAAAGAAGCAGGGAATTAGGCTGCGCAGGGCAGCCGGCCCTGAAGCCGTGCACCTTCCCACAATACCACGATGAGCAGCCCAGCAGTGCACATGCACCATGCACAGAGCAGGCTGTAGGCACTGCATGAACCAGGCAAATGCATGCGCTGCACTGACCGTGCACACTCTGACCAATATTGCTCACAAATGCACAGCACCAGCCATGCACATACATGCACTGCAGTAACCAATCTCACACAGCACCAAATCTGCTCATACATGCGCAGCAGCAACCACTCGTGCATGCACTGCATTGACTTTGCACATGCATGGGCTGCACCAAGCATGCATGCACTGCATTGAGCTTGCACACGGATGCTCCACACCGTGCATGGATGGACAGCATCGATCATACACAGACATGCATCACTCCTATGCACTGCACTCACCCCATACACACAGTGATCTGGCTTGTGTGGCCACTCAGGCCCTGTGCTGTCTGCATCCAGCTTGTTCTTTGTCCTCTGTGGGCACCGCTCACCTTGGCAGAAGCGCCCGGTGTAGCCGGGGGCACAGGCACATTGACAGCTGCTGACGTTGAGGTGTGCACCGTTCCTGCAGCTCATGCGGCACGGGTTCCTGGGGACCTCTGGGCAAACACATGGGGGCATGCAGCCATCAGGGGGCTGGTAGGGCTGGGCTGAGGGGTTGAGGGTTGCAGGGACTGACCACAGAGCCCACCGCCGTGGTCCCAGGACTTGAAGCAACCGGAGAGGCTGGCGGTGCACAGTGAGCACCAGGGCCCACGCTGATAGGGGACGATGGGGGCTCCATCCAGTTCCCAGTTCCCCCTGCCCAGGAAGGGAGAGAGGAACCCCCCCATAACTCAGTGCCCATAGGGGGGGGCCTACTAAGCATAAGCCCCGCCCCTTCTAGGGAAGAGACCCCGCCCTTCCTGCTGAGCTCCGCCCACCCAGTGGAGCACCGCCCACTCATGGCACAAAGCCACGCCCATTGGCTGAACCCACACACTCACTGCACAAAGCCACGCCCACCCATCGGAACCCCGCCCACTCACAGCACAAAGCCACGCCCACCCATCGGAACCCCGCCCACTCAGCACAAAGCCACGTCCATTGGCTGAGCCCCGCCCACTTATAGCACAAAGCCACGCCCCCTCCCCTCGGCCACGCCCACTTACCCAGGTGAGTAGGCGCAGGCAAAGGCCTGGCTGCGGCCCCGGCTCCCGGCACACAGCTGCCTGCCGCAGCCCAGCCGCCCTGCTGTGGCCCACACCAGCTACGGGACAGGCACACCATCACCCTCTGCCACCTCCTGTCCCCCACCTACTCCCCCCGGTCCCCATCCCACCTGGGTATAATGGCGGCAGGTGGCATTACCAGCACAGCGTGCCGCTCCATAGTCATAGCGTCGGCCCTCGGCGAACCAGCGCTCCAGCAGCTCGACGAAGCCCCCGGCACCCACCGGCAGCAAGGCCTCGCTCCAGCCCAGCTGTGGGGCTGGGGGAGGAGTGGGGCCCTCCAGGCAGCCTGCCACCCGCGCTACCGCCAGCTGTGCCAGCTCCTCGCTCCACTCCTGCTGGGACACCAGGCTGGGGGCACTGGTGGGCAATGGGAGATAGTGGAGGCACCCAGGGGATGCCTGGGGACTCCAGGAATTGAGTGGGGGCCACCAGGGGATGTTGGGCGACCAGGAGATGTTTGGGAAGCACCAGGGACTTCTTGGATATAATAGATGAGCAGGGAATGTTGGGTGACCACCAGAGTCATTAGCAGATGACTGGGGATCACTAGGATGTATCTGAAGACTGGGGGATGACTGGGGATCACAAGGAGATGATTGTGAAACATCAGGAGATGCTTGGAGACCATCAGGGCATGTTTGACCACCAGGAGACAAGAAGATGATGTGGGACAACTGAGAGTTGACTGAGGACCACTAGGACATGACTGACCACTAGAGGATGAGTGGGGACTACCAGGGAATGACTGGGGATCATAAGGAGATGATTGGGGACCACCAGGAGGGATGTTGGGCAATCATCAGGAGATGACTGTGGACCACTAGGACAGGTCTGACCATCAGGGGACAAGTGGGGACCACAATGGGGACAATTGAAAGTTGACTGGGGACCACTAGGACATCACTAGGGCATGACTAGGACATCCTGGTCTAGTGGTTGGTGACCCTGCCTGTGGAAGGGGGTTGAAACTAGGTGAGATCCTTGAGGTCCTTTTCAACCCAGCCATTCTATGATTCTATGGTTCTGTGATTCTATGGTTCTATGACTGACCATCAGAAAATTAAGGGGAACCACCAGGAGATGACTGAGGACCACCAGGGAGAATGTTGGGAAACCATCAGGAGATGACTGGAAACAGCTGGGACATGACTGGGGACCATGAGGAGATGGCTGAGGACTATTGGGAATGTTGGGCAACCAAAAGATGATTGAGGGCAACCAGGAGATGACTGGTGACCATCAGTGGATATAGGGTAAGCACTGGGGTATCGGCCACCATGAGATGTTGGGGACCTCAGAGAATCAAGTCCTTGGTGCATGCTGGGTCTGGCAGAGGAGGGCTGGGGCACTCACCAACTTCTGCATGTTGGCTGCAGGCGGATGCACTTTGCTCCTCAGCTTGTTGTGCAGTGAGAGCACCAAGAATGTCTCCTTCTCGCTGAGAGCTGCAGAGGGTAAGGTGCAGCTGGGTTGCTGGTCCCTTGCGGCAGCCTTGGTTATGGGAAGGCACCCGGGTCTCCATGGAGACCAGAGGGGAGTGAAGGAAGCACTTTGGGACAGGAGCACAAAGGGGACAGGGGCTGGGGAGTAGCAGAGACTGCCAGGAATGCACCCGATCCTCAGTGGGGGGGGGTCCGGCACAGCACTGCCTTCATCGTGTTGCACTTGTCACCAGCCCAGAGCCCATCCCTGCCCCACATCCCCAGCCCCAGCCCCACATCCCCATCTCCAGCCCCACAACCTCATCACCACCCGAGCCCCCTGCCTGTTTAGGTACAGGGCAGGAGAACATCCACCCCATCCCTTTGGGAACGATGCCTCGGGGCTCCCAAGCTGCTTTTAGCCTGATGTGAGCGGAAAGCCCCCCCCACCCCCTCTTCCCATTACCTCGGGGTCCTGGAGCCAGTGGGGACAGCTTCTCCGACTCACCCACCCTCCAGGCCAGGCAGGCCAGCAGCACCAGCAGCAGGCCAGCCAGACCCCTGCTGTCCTCCATGCTCACTAAAGGGAGGACTGCGGAGGGAAGGGAGGATTTGGGGAGGGACGAGCCAGTCCTGCGTGCCTGCGTGTCTGCTTCCAAGATTTGATCCTATTCAGGACTTCAGACAGGCGCTGCTGGTCAGCTTGAACAAAAGGTTGACGGGTGAGTAATAGCTCTGTCAAAACAGTCCCAGGCAGTGGAGACAGCTCGGGGGGCCCCTCGGTTCCAGCCCCTCTACTGCAAAGGGGTCGGGATCGCAGGCACTGGGCATCGCCCCCCAGCCCCACTGCCTGCTCTCCTCCTGCTCCATGAATTAAACATGCTGGGGAGGTAATGCACACTGCTGGGGAGGGAGCTGTGGGCACAAGGCCAAATTCCCGCTCCAGTGAGCTGGGCAACGCGGATACGGGGTGGGCGACAGTGGGAGGGATGCTCGGCGTTGGGCAGGGGGCCCAGAACCCCCTCTGTTTGAGTGCTCGGGGGTCCCTTGGCACAGGGCAACGTGTGAGTCTCCAAAATGAAAGGTCAGTGTAGCCCATGGGTTTCCTGCAGAGCCTCTGGCATCCCCACCAGCTGCGCCATTTGGGATGGGGAGGATCAGAGCCTCCCCAGCAGCCCAGCCCAGAGAGCAGCCCATGTCCCTTCTGTATGCCTTCCTGCAATGAGGGACAACGCTGGAGCCTCCCATGCAAGGCAGTCCAGGATCCTCCCTCACCCTAACACTACCCTAACCCTAATGTTATCCCTCACCCTAACACTGATGCTGATCCTGAGTCTAACCCAATCCCAGGCTGCAATGCAGCCAAGCTACCCCCCACCGAGTGCAGACCCCAAAGCCAACTCTGGTCCCAGGAGCCCTCCCCGTGCTTGGCAGATGCTCCAGATCAGCTCCATACCACACACCCATTGTGCCACGTGCACTGAGCACCGGTGAGGCTGTGAGCACGGTGACAGCCACCGCCTGGCCCCGGCCATCCCATGTGAGCAGCAGCATGCCACAGCCGCAGGGAAAGCCAGCATCTGCTGCCCGTGTGACATAAAAGGCCCCAAACCTTCTGATCTGTGGAGAGGGAAGGGAGAGGCCAGTGCTAGTGCCAAGGGGAAACTTTCCTATGGCTCGGGCAGGGGAAAAAACAACAAACACTCAGGCATGCAGGCACACACAGAGATTAAATCCGGTGAGCGGAGGAGCAGGCTGTGAGCGAGTGACTGAAGGAGGTTGAACTGGGCTGGGAGCTTGGGGAACATCCCGGAGCCCCTGAAATCCAGCAGGTCTGTGGGTAAGGGTGGCTGTGGGGTGATGCCACATGGTGGTCACAGTGCCATGTCACTGCATGGAGGGTTGTGGGACAGTGGTGGGGGTCTCTGGGTGATGTGGCTGCAAGAGCTCGGGGTGGGGAAGGGAACACCACCTTGATTCCACCCTGATGGGGCTGTGGTGTGGGGCAGGATGGAATATTGGTGTCTCGTCCTTGCAGCCAGCTGTGCCGCGATGCTCATCCCACTGCCAGGCTGGGTGGCCCTGTGCATCCTGCAGCTGTCCCTCGGCAGAACCCAGGTAAGGACCCTGCACCCAAGGTGAGCATGGGTGGGTCACCCATAGGGCTGCCCATGGACAGGTGGTGGTCTGGGGGCTTTTCCTTATCAGGGAGGGTGCTAGAGCCACTTGGGGGGGTTCAGGCACCACAGGTGCTGATATAGGAGCAGGCAGAAGGGCTGAGGTTGGCACAGATGCGGAAGCAAAGGCAGACCCTGCAGTGGGATACAGATGGATGAGCCCAGAGCAGCCCAGCTGTCCCCAGCTGGTGTGGGAGGGGACACAGCACAGTACAGCGGGTGATGGGGAGGGCCCTGTGTTCCCCCAGGAGTGCCTGAGCCACCAGCAAGTGCTCAGCACCGTGCGGCAGATGCAGAAGCTGCTGTCGGCACAGGAGGCTGCCCACCTCCAGGGCACGCGCAGCCTCAAGAAGCAGCTCTCAGTGCTGCACAGCCGCATCCAGAGGCTCGCTGGCAAACGTAACGGTAACGCTCAGCATCTCCATCACACCAGCTTGGCTCTCCTGGGCTCCAACCCAGGGATAGGGCTGGGCTCCCATCCTCAGTCGTGTCCATCTGTCCATCCACAGACACCTGTCCGCAGCTGGCGGTGCCCCTGAACGGGCGGAAGCTGGGCCGGAGCGCACGGGTGGGCCACGACGTTCACTTCATCTGCAATGCTGGATTTCAGCTGGTGGGCTCGGAGTCGCGCACCTGCCGGAGGGACCGCACCTGGAGCGGCACCCAGCCCTTCTGCAGAAGTGAAGTGCTGTGGGCTTGGGATCGTGGGACTGCTCAGGAGCAATCTTACATCCCCTGCAGCAGGGCTGCATCCCAGCGAGGCTGGGTGGCAAGAAGAGGCAGGAATTGGCTTTCCCTGCCCCTAGTCTTGTGGTATTTATGAGCCCTTTCTCCCCAGGTATCGATGAATGTTCCAGCAACCCGTGTGCCAACGGTGGGACCTGCGTGGATGGCAACCAGAGCTACACATGCCTGTGTCCTCGGGGCTGGTCAGGAGCCAGCTGCCAGAGCCCTGTCTATGCCTGTAGGTGCCCTCAAAGCCATCCTCAGCTCAGCAGAAGCCCAGATTTGGGCTGGGGTGCCTTATGCATCCCTGGGAGTGGAGGAGGATGGAATGCTTGCAGGGCCACGCTGCGACCATCTCATCTTTCCCCACTGGTGACACCACATTCTTCCTGCAGACTGGGTGACACTGAGCAACTCATCCTTCAGCCGTCAGCCCCGCTGTGCTGAGGGACGCCCAGGCTCGCGGCACTGCAGCTGTGATGTCGGCTTCCAGATGCGAGCAGGAGGTGTTTGCCAAGGTACAAGGTGTGAGGAGGGATGAGGCATGATAGGATGAGGCGCCTCAGCCTCCATCCATCCCCACCCACAGATGTGGATGAGTGCCAGCTTTTCCAGCCTAACCCCCAGACCCGGATCTGCCTCCATGATTGCCTCAACCTCCCTGGCTCCTACGGTTGCCTCTGCCCACCGGGGTATGTGCTCCATGCCGACCGCAACACCTGTGAGGGTAAGAGGAGGGATGCTGAGCACCCCATATATGCTACATGGCCAAGAGGATGGACAGCCCCACTCACTGCCTTTTTGCCACTGCAGATGTGGATGAGTGCAGTGGGAACCAGCACAACTGCACCCACGGCGAGCTCTGCATCAACACCTTCGGGGGCCACCGCTGCGTGCGCCCCAAGTGCCCCCCACCACGCCACAACACCAGCTATGTCAAGACCTCCAGCTTGTGAGTATCGTGCCATCACCTCAGGGAGGAGATGATGTGTGTGCTATATCACAGCATCAAAGGGCAGCAAGGAGAGTGCTGGCAGCAAACTGTCACATGTAGCGTGCTTGGTGTGCTGCAGGATGCTCCTTGCCAAAGGTTTTGGGACGCTGGTGGCTGTGGAAGCAGGCGGGAGCACCCAAATACAAGGGGGCTTTATGCAGGCTCTGCCTAGTGCTCAGGGCTGCAGCCCAAGCAAAGCACCTCTATTCGGGAGCCATGCTCCAGGTTGGCTTTGCTAGAGCTTTAATCAAATGTCAACAGTGCTGATGCCCAGGACCTGGGAGGGAACGACGCCATTTCCTTTCCTCTGTACATTTATGTGGTGCCTTTGGCTACAATTCAACATGCAACCCGCCCCCCAGTGCTGCTTGTGAGACTGAACTGCTTTGTGCACCGCTGGCTCGTTCCCCCTGTCCTGGCACAGCTCTTGCAGCAACCCAAGCAGAGCAGCATCCCAGCTCTGAGCTGCAGATCTGCATCCAGATCCTGCACCCAGCCAAGGGACACCTCTCCAAGGCTGGGCATGCTTGGATGTAGCCTCCTTGGGCTGCTCCATCACAGAACATGAGCTTGGAGGTGCTGAGCGTGGTTGGTGGTCTCCATAAGCTTGTTTGCAAGCAGGCAGTCTGTTCCCCAAAAGCCAAGTAACATAGTGGGTCTGGGAGAACCTCATGAGGTTCAACAAAGCTATGTGCAAGGTCTTGTACCTGGGTTGCGGCAACCCCCACTATCAGTACAAGCTAGAGGTCAAGAGGATAGAGCATGGGGGTACTGGTGGGTGGCAGCTGTACATGAGGTAGCAATATACCCTCACAGCCCTGAACTGCATCCAAAGCAGCACAGTCAGCAGGGCAGGGAGGGGATCTGCCCCTCTGTTCTGTGCTAGGCTGCCCAGAGAGGCGGTGATGCCCCATCTCTGCAGACAGCCAAGGTCAGGCTGCACGGGGCTCCGAGCATTGATGGAGCTGTGGGTGTCCCTGCTCATTGCAAGGAGTGGGACCAGATGGCCTCTAAGGTCCTTTCCAACTCAATTCTATGATTCTATGAGTGCTGGTTTCCCTTCTCTCCTGGCAGCCAGTGTGAGAGGAACCCCTGCCCCACAGACAGCCGAGCCTGCCGCCTGGCCGCCACCTCCATCTCCTTTCACTACCTGCCACTCCAGGCCAACCGCACCGTGCCCCGCGTCCTCTTCAAGATGTCCACCACCCGCTTTGTGGGTGACAGCCTGCGCTTCACCATCATAGGCGGCCGGGGCCAGGGCGTCTTTGCAGTGCGGCGCTCCGACCGGCAGACGGGAGAGCTGGTGCTCAGCAGCCCGGTGGTGGGGCCAGCCACGCTGGAGGTGGAGCTGGAGATGAGCGAGTTCTCCCGCAAGGTGCTGCTGGGCAAGCACATCTTCAAGGTCACGGCCTTTGTGTCCCAGTATGAGTTCTGAGATGCGGCTCTGCTGGAGGCAGATGTGGCTCTGTCCTGCGGAGCGATGGAGTGGGATCAGCGTGGTGACCTCAGCCCTCATCCTGTTAGAGCCGTTTCTTGGAGTTGGCCTCAGTGTGTCCTTCCAACTCGGGAGATGCTATGATATCCTAGGATTCCTCCTGCTTGCTCATGGCTGTTAGAGCGTAGCAGAAGAACCCCCGCTCATAGCTGATGCTGCTAGAAGGAATCGAGAAGCCGTGCAGAGGGTTACAGCAGGAAGGGACCCATCTGTGCCAGCCTGCTGTGCCCCCTCATGCCTCATACCAATAAAAGAAAACTGCCTGTAAGGAGGGTGTCCTTGCTCTGTGACAAACATCTTTTGTGGTGCCTGGCTCACGCTCAGCCCTATGGGCAGGAACACCAGAGGCACAGAAAGAGCAGCAGGGCTCCCAGCTGGGCCGGGGTCAGTGGCTTTCTGTCCCCTCAACCCACCAACACAGGGCAGGCCACGGGGGAGGGAAAGGCCCTGAGCCCCACGCAGGGCAAGGAGCGAGGAGGGCCTCTGTGGACGGGCTCCTGAGGCCGCCCCCACACAAAGCAGCCGCTGTGCGCGGCCCATAAAGCCCTCCTTGTGCTGCGGGCACCGCTCGCCAGCACCTGAGGGCCCGGCAGTGGGGGGAAACCGGTTCACACAGCGGCTGTGCGGACGGCGGCCCTGCAACCTGCCATGGCGCACGGGAGCGGCGAGCCGCGCTGAGGCGGGAAGCGAACCGGGGGGTGAAGGCGGGAAACGAACCGGTGGAGGAAGGCGGGAAACAGAGCGCTGCGACGAAACGCGCCCGATGCTTTTTGTCTCTCGCGGCGCGCCGTAGCCCGCCGTTGCCATGGCGACGGGCCCAGCGGCCTGACCCGCCGCTCTCGCTTCTCAGGGCGAGAAGCTCCGGGGCCGGGTCCGTCCCGTCCGCACGGGGCACGCGGGGCGCCCGGCTCCGTCCCGCCGCCTCCCCCGGCCCCGGGCCTCGCTGTGTGCGGACTGCACGGGGAGACCTGCGGCCTCCGAGCAGCGCTGACTGAGTAAGCCCGGAGCCGTTCGGCAGCGCGGTGCGCGCCGTGCTTTCCTGAGCGAGAAACGTGCCGGGTTTGCTGACGGGACTCAGCTGGGAGGAGGGCGCTGAGAGGCCCTGCGGAGAGATGCGGGCAGATGAGAGGTTTAACGCGAGCGGTGCCGAAGGTTAAGGAGGGGTTAATGGCTGTGCACGGCAGGGCCGAGGCCGTGGGGCGGCGCCCGGCTGCTGCGCGGGGCAGGAGATGGGCTTCGTGGGCACTGCGCTGCTTTCCGTTCGGGATGTTCTCAGGTTCTGTAGCAGTAATTTCCAGCCCTTTGCTTGCACTGATGCAAGCAGATCTTGTATCTGAACCACCCTGCTCGCTCTGATGGTTGCAGTCAGTGCCCTTTGGGATTTTCTGCCACTGGAACCGTTATCAAAATGACAGCAATGACATGAGACAGTGTCAAAATGAGATAATAATGAGCTGGAGACCTCTGCTCCTTGCCTCTCAGCATGCCCCTGTGCCCAGGGCCCTTGAGAAGCCCAGCCCTGCAGAACGGATACATTTCTTTAGCAAGGCAGGTTCTGTTCAAAGCACAGCCTGGCTCAGTGGCAAGCAGAGAGCTGCAACTAACAGTTCAACACAAACTGAATAGCATCTGTTTGTCATAGATGTTGTGCAAACACTCAGACATTCCCAGGTTATGGTTCATAACTTGTCTTTGCAATTAAATCTTGCTTTCTCGTGCTGGCAGCCCTGGTGTCGTAGGACAGCTCAGTAATCTGGCAGCTTGCTGTGTGGGTGACCTGCATACATAACTCTGTTTTGTTCTTCTAGCAACAGTTGGCCTTACAGCGGTGTTGTGTGCAATTCCTTTTTCCTCTTTTTGCTCACTTTTTGTTCAGTTTCTAGTCTTTCCACTTTGTTGCTGACAAAGGTGCCTCTGTTTCTGTGTAGTGCTGAAGCTGTGATTCCATCCCACGTGCTCCAGGAGGGCCACCTGCTTTCACTTCACTGCTCCTCACCAGCTGGAAGGAAAGCGTGGCATATCTGAGTCAGCTGGCAGCATTTAGGAGGGAGCATATAAACAGGAGGGAGAGGAAAGTAGATAGTGATAGGACAAGGGGGAATGGTTTTGAACTGAGACAGGAGAGGTTTAGGTTGGATATTAGGAGGAAATTTTTCACACAGAGGGTGGTGGGGCACTGGAACAGGTTGCACAAGGAGGTTGTGGATGTCCCATTCCTGGAGGCATTCAAGGCCAGGCTGGATGTGGTTCTGGGCAGCCTGATCTGGTGGCTGGCAACCCTGCACATAACAGGGGGTTGGAACTAGATGATCTTTGATGTCCTTTTCAACCCAGGCCATACTGTAATTCTATGATTTGTTCTGCCATTGCCCGGAACAGCTTTCTGAAATGAAGATGTTCCCAAAAAAGAGCATATCATACTCTGTCTCTGGGCTGCCCACTTATGCTCTTTTTACTTGATTTTGGTCTACATCCATTCAAACACTGTCAAAACCTTCACAAGTCTCCCTTAGCTGAAAGTTTGGCTTGTTGTTGTTTCATGCAGATATCAACGCTTGCTTTTAGAATGTGTAACTGTTTTTCCCCTTTTGTTCCTATAGATCCTCTTTGCAGAGAGAAGTCTTCCCTCAAATGCTTGTCCTGGTCTCTAACTTTGTTGGAGCATATATCCAGGACTGGGATTCAGTCAGAATTCTTTTATATCAATTTTTTCTTTTTATTTCTACAGATGAACATCTGCAACAAACCTTCTAATAAGACAGCTCCAGAGAATTTGGGTGAAGCTGATCCTAAGGTCCAACGTGCTCGAAGAAATGGCTGGAGCTGGCCTCTGCACCCTTTCCAGATCACTACCTGGCTGCTGTACCTCTTCTTTGCACTGGTTGGCTTTGGAATTCTGGTTCCTCTTCTGCCCCTCCACTGGCTGCCCGCTGGCTATATCGTATCCTTTGGTCAAGAGCAGAACAGAAGCTGTAATGAATTACCAATGGAACATTTTAAAACATGTGGTGAGCATAGGAGAAAACAGCCAGAATCTTCTTCTGAACTATAGCCATAACGTTGATTTTCTCCTGTCTCTAAGAAACACTTATTTTGGAACCATCTCTGTTCCTCCACCAAGGAAGATCATTAACATTCTACTTGTCTCTGTCATTACTCCCTTTTAAGGCTTTGCCTCCCAAGGTCTTCTATCTACATCTGCTTGTGTGTCTCTTTATGTTGTTCTACATGTGTGCAGCAGAGTTTCAGAGAGGGCATAGGAAAACTAGGGAACTGCTATTTGCAGAGTGTGAGGTTGTGCGTCTCGAGGATTACTGTCAGTAATCCCTAAGAATCAGTAGTAATCAGTAAGAAGATCCTTCAGCAGAAGCCTGTTTTACCATTCGTATTTAAAGCTTCCTTAGCAGAACCAGGTAATCAAGAAATGTTATAGACAGAATATTGGGAAGAGTTGTGAAAAGATCTTCCTGAGGAATGCACTTATCATCATTTGTACATCTGGAATTTGTATGTCCATAGAGCTTTGATATTATTGGGATTCTGATGCTTTTGCTAATAGTTTTAATTAAACTTGCGTGATTCAGTCATCAATAACATTCAGCTTGCAGTTATTTTTCATCTACCTGTCTTACTGAAATCTTTGGTATCATCATGCCTCAAACTTTGTAAATTTGTCTGCCACATATCATCATTACTCAATCTAAAGTCATTCTAATTGAACCAACATAACTCAGAGCTTACTGCTAGTACTGTTAGTACTAATGCCTGTTTTTTGTTGGTTTTTTTTTTTCCTTACCACACTACTGTGCTTTTCATATCCTTTAATAGGATCAATGATGTGCATATCTGGTTGCGTAGCAAATAAGCAGGAAGATTAATTGTTGCATGCATGCCCATGTATTTCAGTGTATTGAGAAGCAATCTCTAGTATGCAGTGGTTTACCAGACAGATAATCATAGAATGGCCTGGGTTGAAAAGGACCACAGTGTTCATCTGGTTTTAACCTGCTGTGTGCAGGGTCACCAACCAGCAGACCAGGCTGCCCAGAGCCACATCCAGCCTGGCCTTGAATGCCTCCAGGGATGGGGCATCCACATAACGTTGCTGCTTTCTTTCCAAATATTGGCAGTCACTTGAGGTTTGATCAAAAGTACTTCTAAAGCTTATTTGCTCTGCCTTGTGACTGTGTTTTGTAAATAAGAATTCAAACAGGTGATGTTTTGAGATATAAATGACACGTCCTGTCAGTAAATCCTGTAGGACTGTAGTTGATAGGGGTGATCCTCTTCCTTGGGATTCTGAAAGAAGAGGAAAGCAAGGTGTTCAGTGCTAGTTCCTTGATGTGACTTTTTTTCTCTCTTTTTTGGAAGTTTGGTCTATTGAAGGGGCATGTGCACAGCCTTAACTGCCTGTTACTTTCCAAAGATTCTGTATGGACTAAGAAGCGTGAAGCTACGCCATCAGGCTGCACATAGGGTCAGTTTCTGGTAAGTAAAGGTAAACTTTAAACACTCCTGTGCAAGGGAGGACATTTCCATGAGGCAGAATAGTACTTTATGAGGAGTGTTTTTCCTGTAGATTTAATTCTCATTGAGCAGAAGATGTTAGTTACAGTGAGAAAGGTGAATTTCTCTGTTAATAAAGCTCAGATTAATGTGTTGTAATCAGTTTTATGGTAATTTATAATCCATATATTCCTTGTCTCTGTGGGCTTTGTGTATTAAAAACAATATATATACCCAAATATAAATCACTCCTACAATCCTTAACTGTGTGCTTCAGTGTCCAGGAGTGTGTTTTATCTACCATTTAGTTGTCCATCTTACTGCAGTCTCCATTGATCCTGCGGATGCAAAAGTGCGAGAGAAAAACTATCTAGGGCCTCTGGCCACCTTCAATCGTAATCAGCATGCACATGTCATTGAAAACCATCATTGCCATGTCTGTGATGTAAATGTGTAAGTATCTTCTCTTTCTACTAATCTTTCTTCTTCACTGTTGCACTTTGCCATTCGACGCTTCTTGACTGTTAGATTGAAGTCAAGTTCCTGAAGCTCTTATCTCTGCAGTGCCAGTGAGTCCTCATTCCCAGCTCAGTGAGCTGGGTAGGTGTCCACTGTCAAATGTGAGCGTGGTCCTGTGTGTTACCTTATTGCTCTCATGTCGTGTGGAGAGGACTCTGCTGCTCTTTGTTATCTGGATGTTGGCATTCGATCTGAGAACAGCACGTAACTTGGATGTGTGTGCTTGTGTTTGGCTAGATGCTAATGTGGTAGGAGAAATGCCTGGAAGGTAGGTTGTAGGGTTAAGGTTTGTAGAATTGCTTAGGGTTTTAAAACAAGAAAGCAATGATCTTCGAATTAGAAATCACACAGTGCATTAAAAAAGCAAACTTTGCAGTGTTTGGGACTGTGGTCCAGCAATAGTGATTACAGCCAATATGTTTGGGAATTTAATTATTCTTGTTGTAGATATGATTGGTTCCCAGGCTCTCTGCTGCTCTACCCCCCCATACTTGTGTCCCTGATAAAGGCATGCCACTCTAACACCACCTTTTCTTTGGCAGGAGTGCCAAATCGAAGCACTGTGGATCTTGCAACAAGTGTGTGCGTGGCTTTGATCACCACTGCAAATGGCTCAACAACTGTGTGGGAGAGAGGAATTACTGGTAAGGGCTTGGCACTGTGGCA